GTGAAAAAAAAAAAGATTTGGGGGAGAGATTTTTATTAAAATTGTTTCATAAAATAAGAGCAGATATCTAACTCTTAATTTTTTTTAAATGTTAAATTTGATTAGGATTTTATGTGATTTAATAATAGGTAAAGAAATAAGTAGAGGTAACATGAACCTTCATTAAGTTTTAGTAATGTCCTAATTTTTAACCTTTAACTATATTTAATTACTCTTCAATATAAGGATTATTAAACACAAACTAAAATTGAATTTATATAAAATTAATTTATCAAATATAAAAAATTAATAAATAATCAATTTAAATAATTTAATCCTTGATTAGTATCTTTTGAATTACAATCTTTGGAGTTGAGTTAGAAGAAAATTGAGAATTGAATTAGAAAAGAATTGGTATTAAAAAAAACTTATCCAATTCTAGTAATTCTCAATAAAAGTAATAAAAAAAACTATCAAAAGAAAAAATATTGAAAAACTATAAGTTTTAAAGAAAAATATTTAGGAGCTTCAGAAAAGAAGCTTATGATTAAGTTTGAATACAACATTGATACCAATCCTCCTTTCTAAAAAATCAAAGAATCAAAAACCTCCTCAACTCTAAATTCAGAATAGTGCATTAAAGAAGATATTAATTGAATTAACATTTTTAAGTTTAGTAATCAAATTGAATTATATGTATTTGAGAAGTAATCTTATTTTAGTCCATCAAATATAGTTGATTTAGGGATAATTATATAAAAAAGCATTAATGTAAGCTATGTTGGGATATTAGAAGTTTCTAAAAATTTTCAAACTTAAGAAGAGGTATGTGCACTTTAAATGCATTATTTAGATCATTACTAGATAACACTGCAATCTTAAACTTTATCTACCCTCAAAATTTTAAAACTTCTAACTTAGGGTATTTAATTATTTGAGGGAAAATAATTTTTAAGTTTGGGAGAATTTGTTGTGTAGTAAAATTGATGTAATATTTCATATATTTATTGTGTTATTTGTGCTAGTGTTATGCTTTTTAGAGTGCATTTGCTTGTTTATGAAATATATAGGTTGAAAGATAATGAGGGGAGAAAAGAAGAGCAAATGTATACGAAGTATCAAAACATCGCCTAGATGCCCATGTCTGGTGCTAAGGCGCCTAAACCAACTCTCTATTTTGCTAATATATAGAGAGAATGGAAAATAGGTGCCCGGTCCAAGCGCCTAGGCACTACCTCATGCCTTCATTCGACCAGAAGAAAATAAAAGTTGGAAAGGCATCGCTCGACCCAGGCGCATAGGTGCTAGAACACTAAATCTAATGGGCGCATGAAGAATAGAGGAGGTGAAAAGAAGGCTCACCCGTGTCACCTAGGTGCTCAACCAAGAAACCCAATGCTCTAACCTAGTGCCTATGCATCTATAAAGAAACTTCATATGTGTTCCCAGACTGAGAGCCCGAAACCCAACACCTTAGGTTGGCACTTTAGCACCCAACATCAGTTTAGGGCAATTTTGATGATTTAGAGGTATATGTAGTGATTCGATGGCTTTAACGAATTTGAAGGAATGTGGGGAGTGCTTCATTTTGGAGATACTAAATTGTTGTCAGGGAGTGAGTGAGGCTTTTTTAGGGGGAGTGTGCTAGAGAGATTTTAGAGTATTTAGCGAGTATTTTTTTGTATTGTAAGTGTGTGAGAGGGAATAATCAAGAAAATTTTTGTTAGATTATTCTTATTGTAATTATTGCTTTTTATTTTTGTTTTCAATGAAGTTTTCTTGCCTTTCCCTCAACATGCTTAGGAATTAAATTCATTGTATTTTTTTTTATGTGTGATCAATTGTTTTGCACAAATAAGATTTATGTGATACTTTTTGTTATATAATTGTAAGTCATTGTGTTATCTTTTTTTAACTTGCTTTACTTTTAATGTGACCAATTTATGTGATCTAAAACTGCTGACTGTAAGCTAGAAGAATGAGTGAGATAACATGCACTCACTTAGTGAAATAGGAATATTGTTATTAGGAAATTTCAACATCATAGGGGACTAGAGAATGTATAGAAAACTTTGCATGGTTAAATAAAACTTAACTGTAATAAGAACTTTCAACACTTCTTAATATCTAGGAATAGAGTAAGGGGTATTTGTCTCTGAGTGTCAATTTTAGAATGAAATTTATTGGATAAATATGGATAATTCACACGATCAAAATCAAAGGAGCATGATTCTAACTAAAAAAAAACATAATCTTGTAGATTTAGGTTTTCAAAAATTAGGATTTTAGTAATATTTAAAATATCACCAATCTTAGACACTTATAACTAAACCTAAGATTAGTAGACTAGAAGTTCACCCTTTTTGAAATAATAACTCATTTTTTGTATGATTGATATGCAAACTCTTCAATATATATACTACTTGATAAACATGTATATTGCATGATTGATGTGTGTGTCAACACATCACAGATCAACCAAACACCTGTGCACATGCATGTTTCCTCACATATCCTTGAACGCATGCATCACCTCTAGCAATACGATGGTCCAACCAAACCCTAGCATTCAATTGCTCATTCTATCATTTTCCAATATTTTAAACTTAATTTTAACACTTCTATAACACAATGGAGCCTCTACAGCTATTTATTAGTAGTTCAAAGAAAGTTTTTTTTAATAATTTTTGTTTGATCGATGCACTAAGTTCATAAATATCTTAAATTGTGATTAAGGGGAATTTACTTAGTTCACAGTAATGGTGAGAGTTTCATATTGACATCTAAAAGTAGTCGAACCTTATAATATTTATGAAATTATAGTTTTGAGATATATATTTTTAAGGGCATAATACATATTTTTTTATGACACAAACTTCAACATCCAAAAATAAAGAGGCAACTAATAGATCACCCAAAAAAATCTATGTAATAAGGTATTAATCTTGCTAAATTTTAAATAAGACAATTTCAAGAGTGAAAATCAACACCATGTCATCCTTAATTTTTATAAATTTATAATTAGATTAAACATCTAGATAATATGAACCCAACAACACCAAGTGATTCAATATGAGTCTAAAAGCCCAGATCGAACACTCATATATAAATAGAAGCTTTCAAACAATATTTGGAAGGTAAACAATCTTCAAATTTGATATGCATATAATCGAATTGACAGCTCGATGAGATTAATCCAATGAGTCAGAGATATTTCAATTTTTTTGTCATTGAGGAACTTAAATGTAGAGCAAATGATCTATAATCGAAGGAGCCAATGTGAACTATTCAATAATGTTTCAGAATTTTGATCAAATTTATCAAATTTTCACTCTCAAAAATCATAAATAGGCCCCAAATCTACACATAAGACCGAGGAGGAAGAAAGAATGATTTGAGAATTAAATCTACACTCATAGGGAGAGCCGAATGGCAACACTCACCACCAATCATCAACCAGCACCAATGGCTAGTGTAGCCCTATTATTTTAATATGGCTATTGTTGTCAAACTACTTTATTTTCAGATTTTTATTTTATAATCACTCTCTCTAAACTATTATTGTCATTTAATAACTCTTATCGTAACAATGGAGAGGATAAAAAAATATAGCACTTTTGTTTTCTTCAGTTAAATCGATGAGTTCAATTTTACGACTACACTAATATAAAAAACTATATTGCACTTCAAGTATCTCATTTTTATTTCACATAAAAAAAGTCTTGTTTTCTCCTATCATTTTTATCTAAGTTGAGAGAGAGAGAGAGAGAGAGAGAGAGAGAGAGAGAGATCTTATCAAGTTGAAATATAATGAGATATTTCTTTTTAAATAGTAAATAATAAATTACAAAATTTGTGATTGAAACACATGGCAATAAAGGAATACCTTTCTCTAATCATTGGGCCAGAGGACAGTTAAACATAAGCTGAGCTTAATGTAACTTGCTCAATCTTATAATTTAGTTAATGATTTAAAATTATTGCTCTAAATTAGGCTCACTTGACAAATAAGTTTACCAAAATAATTATTAAGTCAAGCATGAGCTACAATTGGTCAATAGATTAAAAAGCTAATGGAAACAAAAAAGAATAAAATAATAATAATAAACTGAAAAGCCTACCTGATTCTGATAAATTAAAATTATATTTAAAAATAATAATATTTATTAAATCTAATCATTTATTTCAATATAGCTATAAATAAACATAAATTTTTAGCTTTGATAAACTCCCTCCATAATAAGAATTTCAATTTGCAAGCAATCAAATGAATCCTTAAAAATAAAATCCCATTTGTCAATGCAATAACTTACGAATGATCTCTTCTCCAATATTTACAAATCAACTCTTCACCTACCTGCACTTTGCATAAAAATCAATGAAATTGTTACTTATCCATAGATTTTTGGAGCAGACATACCAGCTCTGCTGCTCCTTAACCACTGCAAGTTCCTATCCTTAGAGAGAGAAAGAGAGACAGGAGAGGGAGAGACAGGAGTTGGGATTCATCATTTAGTTTACAGAATGCTTTTTCCATTTAATGCCCATTGCCAATTTCTGACTTGTCTGTCGTTATTAATTTGAGATTTAGACCGTTAGGCTGTCTCTGAGAGTTTTAATTGCAATTTCTCTGTCTAGCCAACTCATTATTAATAATATTCTCATTAATGGAGTTTATTTGTTGATTGCCCTTTGTTCTTGCTTCATAAATCTCATGTTCTGTGAAGCAACCTCTCTCTCTCTCTCTAGCAGAATTGAGATTTCTTAGGTAGATTTCGCTATCTCTAACCACAGTCATCAAAATTCTCCATATGGTTTTGCTGTAAAGGCAGCATCTTTATGAAATCTGAGTTGAATTTATGCTATTTCTTTTTAGATAATTGTATAAGTTCAGAGTATCAGACTTTCTCTTTTCTTCTATCTGTAAATGAAATCTTTTGAATAAAATTACAATTCTGCCATTAATTAGAAAATTTCTTCTTCCGATTCTGAATCCTGTAAAATATCTCTGTTCGATCAGATAAGCCTTGTTGTTTGAAGATCAGGAGCTGACTCAATGGCATCAACTGACACTCCAATACAAGTGGGTTATTTCTATATATATATTTCAGAGCATACAACATGCTTAATGTTTTTTGAGAATATTTTTGATGTTATAAGGATAATTGTCTTAAGTTATTTTTACTAATCATTGCATAAATGCTAGAAGAGTTGTAATCTAACTTATATTTTTAGAGTTTTTGAAATCTTATTGTTATTGTTAATTTTTGCCAAACATGATGTTTTTGTGTACTCATACCAACATGACAGGAATGCAACATTAATAAGTTGTATATTTTGTCCTGACAGAAAACTGCATCAGATTTAGTGTTGCAGATTTCTATTCTTGAGAGAGAAATTGTACGTTTGGAAAGCCATCTATTGTCGATATATCGATCTGCATTCGAAAATTATTTTTCGAGTTCTCCAATTACCTCAAGTTTTGCCAGAAGCTCGAGTGTATATGAAGCTGAACATACTAATGAAGAACTCGATCTTTCTCCTGTCAATGTCGGCGCTGACAAAATTAGCTTCAATAGCTATAGTCATTTAAGATACTCACCTGCTCAAGAACCAGCATCAAGTTCAAATTCCATTTATTCTCGTTCCCATGTTGTCGATCGAAGAATGGTTGGCCAAAATTCACATTATGTTCTATCATAACATATGTTTCATTCATTACATTTCATTTTTGTAACATTTAAATACAAATCACACAATTTTAATGTATTTATATATCTCACATCTAAACTTTCATATTTACACACGGCACTCGAATCTTCAATACCACATCAAAAATATCACTATTACCAGAGTCTTACATATGTAAATATGAAAGTTTAGGTGTGAGAAATGTACATCCATAAGAATTGTGTGCTGTGCTGCGTATGTAAATTTCGTTTTATTCTTTTTGTCAAAGAAATGAATCTGAAGTCATATTCCTCTGTGACAATTTTGCAGAAAATGCGAAAATCTCGTTCCGACCATCACACGCTCGCCGACTATCTAGGCACGAACATTCAAGATCACATATCAGGGACAACATTCATGATTTCTGAAGATATCATTAAGTGCATCTCATCCATCTGCTGCAAGCTTACAAGTAGCAGAAAGAAACATATGGAGCTTTTGCCTTCATCTTCATCTTCCTCTAACTCTTCAGTCTTATTGTCTCCTGAAAATCTTTGTAACAGTTGGAGCCCTCAGTTTTGGTGTGAAGCTGCATCAAGTTCTTATGGAAACAATTCACCAAAACAAAAACATGATCCATATGAAGATATGATTGAAGTTTCGAAGATCTGCATGGATGATGATCAATTCGAGTTCGCGTTTAAGATGCTAAAGATTTTCAGGTCTCAATCAAAAGATTTAAACAAAAAAACTCATTTTTGAAGACAATCTAAGGTTCCTTTGATCATTAAGAAAGGAATTTAAAACAAAAATTTGTGTCAAAAACAACAAACATTCTGCTCTTGAATGGAATTTACATGATATGTTCATTTTTCTTTTTGGATAAAATTGGTTTTTCTTTTTTTTCTTAGGTCCTTGATTCGACGACTCGAGGATGTTGATCCGAGAAAAATGGAGCAAAATGAGCAGCTTGCTTTCTGGATAAACATACACAATGCCTTGACAATGCATGTATGCAATTCTCAACTTTACAAAACTTCATTTGTTGAAATAGAGAAATTTACATTGGAACCACGCAATTGTTACGCGTTTACATAGCTAACACGTAACTTTCATATTTACATGTATCACACTTTAGTGTCATAAGCCTACGCATGAAAAGGTATAGTTCACTTTTACAAAGTATTAGTGATATTTTGATGTGATACTAAAGATTTGAGTGTTATGACTGTAACTACGAAAGTTTAGGAGTTAGACATGTAAATAAAGAAGAATTGTGTGGCACGAATGTAAATGCCCCTAAATAACTTATGGACTACAAATATAATTAACATCTTATTCAGGCTTTTCTGGCTTGTGGACTACAAAAGAATGTAACGAGGAACAACTCTTCAATACATAGAGTAAGCAGCAAGACAGTTTTACTGCATTTGTTCTGACCTCGTTCTTTTCTTTGAGCTTTGATTTTTATTACATCAATTAAATATTCAGGCAGCATATAATATTGGAGGATGTTCAGTAAATACTTCTGTCATTCAAAAATTAATACTTGGATGCTGCCATCCGCAATGCTCTTCATCGGTATGTTCATATTAAAATCTCGGGGTTTTTACATACCAACCACCCAAAACTTTAAATATAATGTTTATGCTACCTAAACTTAAAATTTACGTTTTCAACCACCTAAAACTTTATTTCTTTTTGAAACAGGAGAGGTCAAGATGTTATATTTAAAGTTTTGAGTGGTTTTTCGGTGGTTGAAATGTAAAATTTGACGTTTGAGTGGTCATTCCGTTATATTTAAAGTTTTGGGCGGTTGATATGTAAAAATTCCTAAAATCTCTTATGATAAATTATCATGAAAGCATAGTGCTAATGATTCATTCTAACAGTTCTAATCAAAAGGAAGATTTTGCTAAGGTTTAAAGCACATTGGAACTTGTACTATTTGCAGCATTTGAGATATTTGTTCGCATCAGAAAGGAAGTTGAGAAAAGTAGGGAGCAATCATCCATATGCTCTTCATCATCCGGAGCCTCTTGCTTATTTTGCTCTTTGTATGGGAGCTTCCTCTGATCCTGCTGTAAGATTCACATTACTTCACCTTTTACATTCTATAATCGTAGAAATTTACTTGGGGAGAAAAATAACTTCATTCATTATTCAAAAATAGGGTACATATATATAGGGAAACTAATCTCTCATTGTTTACAAGCTTACCAAGCATATCTCACCTAAATTAGGAAAGAAAATAATTCTAAATAAGAAATTGAAAAGACATAAAAGAAGAAGGGATTAAACCAATCAAGGGTTTCCGAAGATATTCTAATCAAATCCTGTAAGATTTGAAGGTGGTAGCCGACCCACATGAGAGAGGTAATTATGGAAAGGACTAAATCTTCTCAAATTTCCACACTCCCCCCTAGTTGGGTCATAAATGTTGTAGAGACCGAGCTTCTTTCTGAATTCCAAGAAGATGCTTAAAGGAAGAGCTTTGATGAAGCCATCAATAATTTGTTATTGTGTTGAAATGTAGCTTAGTTGTGGAGCTTCTCCATTGATCTTTTCAGAGATGAAGTGTCTATCAATTATATTATGTTTAGTTCTGTCATGATGCACATGATTGTTGGCAATACTAAAAGTTGCTCGACTGTCATAAAATATTTGTATATGCCTATTGGAAGAATATCCCATTTCCCTTAACAATTTCTAAATATAGATCTCTCCGCAGATCCCTTAGGCACCTTATACTCTGATTTTGCACTGTTTTTCAAAACAAGGCTTGTTTCTTACTCTATGTAACGAGATTTTTCCATACATATAATCAATAACCTATGGTGGGCTTTCTGTGAATGAATTCTCCATCCCAACTAGCATTAGTGTAGATTTTCACTTCTCCATTTATGGTGTTCTCAAAAATTAAATCAAAACCAGGATTCTTCTAGAGAATAGAATCTTATATAACATTTTCAAATATTATTCATTTGAGCTATTCATGTATTGGTTCACAATACTTATAGAGTATGCAATATCTGGCCTAATATGTGACAAATAGATGAGTTCTTACCAATCTTTGGCATCTTCTCTTATCCACTGATATGTTTTTTTCTTCCCTATTAGACTTCTTTTGGGTTCCATTGGAGTATCAGCAGGTTTGCATCCAAACATCTATGATTCCTTTAGCAGATCTAGGATGTATTTACTCAGTGATATAGCAATCCTTTTCTTGGACCTTAGTACCTCTACACCTAGAAAATATCTCTTTTTCCTATGTCTTTGATTTCAAACTCAGCGAAAAGCACTTCTTTGATTTTAATAATTTAACATTCATCTTCACCAGTAAAAATCATATTATTCAAATATATGATCAGTGCAGTAATCTTATCTCAATGAGTGTGTTTTATAAATAATGTGTGATCAACCTGACTTTGAGATTATCCAATGAATTTCATAGTGTTAGGTATGGCTCATATACCATAAATGGGATAGATGCTGGAGCGGAGCGGAGTCCATGAGCGGAGTGGAGCGGAAGGATCTGTCAAATCGGGGGAGTTTCATTATGTGGGTTGCGGGTGCGGGGGCAGCACCCCGCTGTTTGGTACAACGGTAATTTAAGTAATTAAATATTATACTATAGGGTTATATATATGTCATGTTTGTAACCGTAGGTGAGTCTCTAGGTCTTTGAGATTCCAAATCCCTGATTTATGTAATCTCTTTTCTGAAGATGAAAAGGAACTCTTCGCTCTACTCCTGAGAACGTAGGCATCTATGTCGAACCTCGTTAAATCTCTTTGTGTTCTTCTGGATTTGTGTTGATTTCAGTTTTTCTTCGCCTTAATTTCTCAACAAGTGGTATCAGAGCGAGGTGCAAGGGTAGGGAATAAAAATTTGGGCAATGCAAGAATAAAGAAGATTTTGGCAGAGGAGGTTGGCGGCTAGGGAAGGATTTCAGCAAGGTTCACGAGAGTTCAGATTTCGGCGCAGAGAAAATTCAAAGACGAAGAGGGCTTCGGACGGTTCGGCAGGAAGACGAGAGCTTTTCCGCGAAGACTTCAAGTGCGACACCAGGTGCGTGCGGAAAGTAGGAGTTCAACAAAACTTTGGAGGAGTCGGCGCAGGAAGGCATTAGCGAGATGGCGCAGGAAGGCGTCGGCAAGATCGATAGAGGAATCGCCGCAGAAATTGCGGCATTCGCAATTGCAACAGAGGAATCACGGCTTCTGCTTCGGCGGTTCGGATGGGCTCCAATTCAACGAGAGGTTTCAGCGCCAGGCGAAGTTGCTACAGGCATAAAATGATGGTTCGGTGCCAGCTTGGAGTGGAGGCGAAAATTGGTAGCTCCGATTTCATTCCTTTGCTAGAGGCGCAAGAAAATTGTAAGAAAATCAAATTCCGATTTTATTGTAGAGAAGAAAACTGGAAAGTAATCAAGTTCAGATTTTATTCCTTTGTGGGAGGCGGAGAGGAAAATTGGAAAGAAATAAGTTCCGATTTTATTCCCTTGTTGCGGAGAAGAAATTTGGAAGGGATATTTTCCAGATTTCTCTAGAGGCAAAAGAATTTCCTTCACAGAAGAATTGCCTTTGCTCGCTACTAGAGGAATCTTCCACGGATTTGATTTCAAAGGAAGCCAAATATTCCAAGAAAGGAAGTTGTCTTCTAGCCGCGGAAAAGGAAATTTAGTGCGGAGATATTTCAGAGATTTTCCAGGACTCAAAAAATGCAAAGAAAGGGAATCTGCTGCTTCACTCGAGAAAGGAAAGATTTCTTTCTGAAACGAAAAAGGAGCTTTTCTGGAAAGCGGGACGGAGCTTTTTCTTGGAAGTTTAAGGAAAAATATTTCTGAGAAACTTAATTAAGGGAAATATTTAATTAAGGAAACTTAATTAAGAAAATATTTCAATCTTTTTTCGGAAAGATTCTGTTGCTTTCTGGGAAATTTAATTAAGGGAAATGCTTAATTAAGAGAAACTTAATTAAGGGAATATTTCAATCCTTTTTTGGAAAGATTTTGTTGCTTTCTGGGAAACTTAATTAAGGGAAATACTTAATTAAGAGAAACTTAATTAAGGGAATATTTCAATTCTTTTTCGGAAAGATTCTGTTGTTTTTTTGGGAAACTTAATTAAGAAAAACTTAATTAAAGAACTATTTAAAATGGTAGCCCAACCCACATCGGTACATAAGAAACTCCATGATATATTTCTCCTAAGGGGCTATATATTCACTAAGGTGGAGATTTGTTGGATATATGCATTTCTCCTAAAGAGGTTGGATATTCACCAAGGTAGAGATATGTTAGGTATGACTCATAATACCAGAATTTTGAGTCTCTTAGAATGAAGAGATGTCTCTTGGAACTGAAGAGTTGTGTCTTTTGGAATTTAGTGGGTTGGGCGGATTAGCGAGGGCGCAGCAGAAGCGTGGTGACCTAACCCACATTAGTGCAGAAGAAAATACATGATATATTTCTCCTAAGGAGCTGGATATTTGCCAAGGTGGAGATTTGTTAGGCATATGCATTTCTCCTAAGGGAGCTGGATATTCACCAAGGTGGAGATTTGTTAGGTATGGCTCATAATACCAGAATTTGGAGTCTCTTGGAATGAAGAAATGTCTCTTAGAATTGAAGAGTTGTGTCTCTTGGAATTTAGTGGGTTGGGGGGATCAGCGAAGGCGCAGCTGAAGCGTGGTGGCTCAATCCACATTGGTGCATAAGAAACTCCATGATATATTTCTCCTAAAGGGGCTGGATATTCGCCAAGGTGGAGATTTGTTAGGTATGGCTCATATACCATAAATGGTACAAATGCTGGAGCGGAGCGGAGCCCATGAGTGGAGTGGAGTGGAATGATCTGTCCAATCGGGGGAGTTTCATTATGTGGGTTGGGGGTGCGGGGGCAACACCTCTTGGTTTGGTATAGGGGTAATTTAAATAATTACATATTGTATTACAAAGTTATATATATGTCCTATTTGTAACCCTATGTGAGTCTCTGTGTCTCTGAGATTCCAAATCCCTGATTTTTGTAATCTCTTTTCTTAATTTTGAAAGGAACTCTCTACTCTGCTCCCGAGGACGTAGGCATCTTTCCAAACCTTATTAAATCTCTTTGTATTCTTCTGGATTTGTGTCGATTTCAATTTTTCTTCGCCCTAATTTCTCAACACATAGTTTTAGCAAACCTTTCAAACCATGCCCTTGGTGATTGGTTAAGCCCATAGAAGGACTTCTTGAGTTTGCATACTAGGTATTTGGTGACATCACTCTAAAGTCCTGGTGGTATCTCAATGTATACTTCTTCTTTCAAATCCCCATTCAAGAAGACATTTTTTATGTTAAGTTGATGCAATCCTTATTCCTTATTAGCTGCTACTAAAAGAAACTCTGAGAGTATTCAGTCTAAGAACTGGTGCAAATATATTCAGATAGTCAATCACATAGGCATGTGTGAAACCCTTAGCAACAAATTTGACTTTGAATCATTCAACACTCTTATTAGCTTTGTACCGGATGTTGAATACTCATTTACATCCAACTGACTTCTTATTTTGAAAATGTTTAGTAAGATTCTATTTTACCACTTTCCTTCATTCTAGAATTTCAAAAGATAAATGGATTTAGGAGTATGCATACTATCAAGGTTAAATATTAATGCAATTTGAGATCATTTTGAGATAACTAAGAATCATGTTAATATTACTCTCTTTTGTCTCTTTATCAAATGTAAGCACATTAATTTTCAAAAAAAGAACTGAAGTTGAAAAAAGTGCATGAAGAAATCAAGAGAAAAAAAAAGAAAGGCGAATGTGAGCTAATTTTACTTCCTAGAGGAATAAGAATAGACATGAAGGGGGTGTATACAGCAAAGAGTAATGCAAAATAAGAAGTGAAAATATAGACTAGACTGATGATAAAAGGCATCAACCGAAGAGTTGCCATCATCTTCAATGTGATAATTAGTCTCATTGCATGATTACAAATTATTCATTATAATCATTTAGCTCACATAAATGGAGAATATATCAAATGAATATAAAATATTTATTTAATGGACACCAAATTATCAATACAAAAGATAACAAGACAAAATTCTAAAGCTAAAAAAGGTTGTCTATTACTTGAAGTACCAATGGAAGGAATAGCGAAATTGATAAGTGTTTGCAAAATGACTTCATTAAATGTCCATATGATCATGCTCTTTACATTAATAACAAGGATGAGATGTTTTGATTATTTTTTTGTGAATCAGTAACTTGATCTTCATTATAATTAATACAAGTATATTGGGAGAATTTGAACAAGCAATGTTTAAGGAGTTTGCGATAATTGATATTAAGCTTATAATATACTACATTAGAATTGAAGTTAGCCAAATATAGGATGAAATATTCATCTCACAAGAAGATTATAAGAGAGACAAAATTTTTCAAGATAAAAATATAAAAAAAACCATAAATAATCCTGTAAAATGCAGGGCCAAGCTATAAAAGTATGAAGAAGGTGAAGAACTGGTCCAATACTTTTTCAGAAGTTTGGATGGGATTTTGCACCACTTGGTATACACAAGATCCAATATTCTTTTATCTATTGGACTTATTAGTCACTAAATGGAGACTTCAATTACACTCACTTGAAATCGCTAAGAGAATCCTACACAGAGCAAAGTACAATTGAATTTGGGTTACTATATACATTATTTAATGATTTTAAGGCTATGGGATATAACAAAAATGATTGGGCTGAACATATGGATAACAAAAAAATTACCACAAAATCTGTGGTCTTCATGAATGACACTACTTTCAATTGGATGTCAAAGAAAAGATTGATTGTCACCTATTCTACTAGTGAAGCAGTGTATGTAGCAATAACCTCATTTATGCGACATGAAATCTAGTTTTGAAACTTTTTTAAGGGGTTAAATTTATTAAAAGAAGCAGCAGTATAGATTTTTATTGATAAAAATTATGGAATGATGCCAGTCAAAAATCTAATTTTTCATCATAGAAGCATATGGTTAAACTATCACTTCTTTAGAGAATTCATCATAACAAAAGAAGACACAAGAGGAGTATGTGAAGTCTTAAGGCCGAGTTGCAGAAGCTTTCACCAAGTCACTCAAATCTAATGATTTTATTAGAATGTTAAGTTTGCTTTAAGTTTTAAAACTAAATTTAAGGAGTATTAGAAGTTAAACTTGATTTTTTCCATTTCTTTTTTTCTATAGTTGGGTGTTATATTTTATAAGGCATTTGGGCTTTATTTATCTGAATTTAAGTCTAATGATGATCCCGTGTTCTTGATCAATCTCTTGCAAAGTATAGAAATATATTATAGTGAAATTGTTACAAAAATCTAGAATAATAATAATTGACTCTTGTAATATAAAAAATAAAGGAGTTCCAAAGAGCCAGTTGAAATCACTGGATTATAAATATGTGGGTAAGGTGATGATAATATTAATGCTAGTATTGATTTTAAGTTCGTATCAAACACGAGTGAAAAAAGAAATTACGGATCATCTTCCATCAAAATATATTTTATTTTATCTACTAAGGCTTTGCTTAGTCCTCAAACCATTTCCATTCCAACATATAAAAATTGTAAAATATGGTTGTTTTAAAAAATACCAAGTCTAGGATTATGTTTTTGGATTAAAAATGGGTTGGCTTAGTTGAGATATTAATGAACAAAAATTTGATCCCTCTACTTTTTGTGCTATGATATTGGAGTGGATGGCTTAGTTGAGATCATCCATGATGCGCATGGCTCCCATTAGTTTTTTGGTTCAATAAACCACGGGAATCACGTTTCATGAGTAGATAACCCATCTAGTGGTTCCACATGGTTGATTGACTTCTATTTCAAAAGTGATGAACAATGTCAAGTTTTGTAGCTTAAGGAAGACTACAAAATCATATAAGAGTAATATTTTTGGCTCACAAATAAGTTTGATGACTTGTACACATATAAGACCAACTATAATCTCCTACTCAACAATTTCTAACAGATTTTGACATAAAATATTGCAGGTCCGTCTCTACACAGCGAAAGATGTTCACCAAGAGTTGATTGTTGCGAAAAGAGAATACATTCAATCTTATGTCTCCATCCAAAAAACCAAGATAATACTTCCCAAACTCTTACATTACTATGCCAAAGCTGCTTCTAAAGAACCATCCGACCTCATAAAGATGGTAGCCTGCAACATGGAGGAAGATGTACATGGAGCAATGCAACAGTGCTTCCAAAAAAATGGCAGCAAATCAGTGACGTTCTCACCATTTAAAACAGACTTCAGATTTCTTTTCCATAATGATCTGGTTAAGCAATAAGACTCCCATCTTGTATTTTGTAGTCTTGTAGATATAGAGTGGAAGGACATTGGAATGTGTTTGAGATTGTGTCTGTTTCACATTGTTCAGTATTCCATTTTTCAAATCAGAGGAGTGAAAAACTTTTCTGAAAACTCAAATATAAAATAAACCAATTGCGTTATAAAACAATTCTTTCAATGTATTTTGAAAGAGTAAGATTGCAAGTTCCATCTTTTTATTACTTCTGAATCGGTTGGTGTTAATTTCTTGGAAAAAAATTGTGTGCGATAGACGTACGCAGCGCTGCGTGCGATATTGAGATATACCGAGGGTACAAGGGGATTACATCCACGGTATAAGCCCTTGTAATCTCCCTGTAACCTCCCTGTAACTTACGTGTAACCTCTTAATATATGATAACAGAAGCGCGGAACTTATTTTAGGGTACATATAGGTTACAAAAAGTTACAGGGAGGTTACAAGGGGTTATACCGCAGATGTAACCCCCTTGTACCCTCGGTATAACCCCAATATCGCACGCAGCGCTACGTACGTCTATCGCACACAATTTTTTTCCAATTTCTTGACACTGCTTAGCATTCTATGAATCAAATTATGCATTTTTCCATTGCTCCAGACATTAGCACGCTTGGATGAGAAAAATCAAACTATGATGAACTGTTTTAGCACCTCAACACTTTCCAGCACCGATGCCATAATTATGGACTTCAATCCATTGTTGAAATATTAAGGTTTTGTTTCAACTATCTATTCTATTTTTTTGTATTCATTTAGTTAAATTAAATTTGATATTGTTAACTTGGTCATGTTTGGTTTGATATGAGTCATTTATATTGATGGGCTGAAAACCAAATATCATTATGTCAAATTAATACAATTTGCATATTTTCAATGTTCTTAACCAATACAAAATGTATGTCCATATTTGCATTGGTTGGTCTCATTAAATCACAATGGGAATATGATCCTCTTGAGAGTCTAATTGTAGTGAGAAAATAAAGAAGAAGTCTAGGGGTTATTTGTAAAATGTTTGTATGGCTCGTAGCCAAAAAAGAATTTTGATGTATCAGAGCCCTAATACTAGCATTCGGTCGTTGCCGTCGTCGGGATCGTCGTGGTGTAGCTTGATCAGTGTAAGTGGCGGCCACTAGGAGCGTACTCTCTGCTTCGTCATCACAAAGCAGCAGTGACAAGGAGCTCACTAGGAAGGCGACGAAGGAATTGTGACTTGTTGGGAAGGCAACCACGGATCACAGCAACTGGGAGCGTACTTTCCGTTTTGTCATCACGAAGCAGCTGCGACAGAGAAGGCAATGACAGGATCGTGGCTTGCTAGGAGGGCAACAACGTGATGGTAGTTCTCCGGGCAGGCAACGACGAGATGGAGGCTCGCTGAGAAGGAAACGAAGGGATCGCGACTTGCTGGGAAAGCAACCATTGGATCTCAGAGTGAACACTTGCCATACGGTCAAGCTTACAGTGAGCTGGGAAGTCAAAAGCGTGCCCTAGAACTGACTGCATCTTTGCTTGCTGGGTTGCCTAATAGTGGTTTGAATGGCTCGGTGTAGGATTGTGCCATGAAATCAAAGTAGTGGAGGAAAGAAATTTGGTTCTACATTCATGAGACATTGATGAAGGCTGAGGAATAGTTAAATTGATTATAAAGGAGGAGAATCGCATGAGGCTACACTCTGAGCCGAGTGGACTTCTAGGTACGTGATAGTTTTGGCTGCATCGAGCTTAGGTATGATTGGTACCCAAAGGGAGACCCACAGGTACTACAACAATGGAGAAGTTGGACGCTTGAGCATGGTATGTCCAAAGCCACCCAAGAAGAGAAACGAGTGGATGTGGATATTCTAGAGGCCATGATTGTAATTGTGGGCGCCCAAGGGGCGAAAGAGGAGGCTACTAGGCAAATCTGATGGTAGCAAAAAACTAGGGAAAGACGACAACAATCTTTACTGATAAGGATCACGAGTTACTAAAGATGTTGAAGAGGAAGCGGAGAGTGGATGTAATTGAGGATGCATTTACCTTATCTTCATCCAAGGGAAACACTGCTATTTATGCTCACTCAGTCAAAGGTACTCATGATGCACATAATCTTATCTCTATATCCACCACAAGATCACAAGAATAGATAGTAGATTTCGGTGTATCTTGACATGTGACAGGTGTCATTAGTGAGTTCTTTTCTTATACTCATCTAACAGTTTCAGAGAGCATCCAGACCGCTGATGGTACAATAAAGCCTTTGGTTGGTAAAGATACAATAAGGTGTATGAATTCTAAGACTTCGTCTAATATTTTGCATGCTCTTTCCTTTATAGTGATCCTTTTATTTATTAGTGTCATTATACTCCAACTAAAACATATTGTTTCATTGGATATTCCAAAGGTGAGCTTTCAAGAGAAGGGGACTGGCCAGAGACTAAGTACTGGCATGTGGCATAGTGGACTCTGGTACTTGGATAGAGAGTGGATGGACTCAACCTTGACATCCATGGTTAAGAATGATTGAGCAGGAGGACTTGAGAGGAGTGTGGAGGATGTTTTTCTGCTACATTGCTAGAAACATGAGACATTCTTAGTTTAGTCTATTAAGTTGTTTGTATCTATCCTTCTATGAAAAGACAAATAAAGAAAAACTTATGTATGATTCTTGTGAGTTTGGTAAGTATACCTAGAGCTCTTATTTTAGTTTAGTAAAAGGAGTTCTTATGTTTTTTATTTGGTGCACTCAAATGTATGGGGATGTTGTTCCACAACTTTTATAAATGGTTAAAGATATTTTGTGACTTTTATTGATTATTTTTTTCTTGTTACTTAGTTGTATCTGATGAGAAATAAAAGTGATGTGCTTGCCTACTTTAAAGACTTTCAAAGGATGATTCAGACTCAATACGGTGCAGTAGTGAAGATATTGATGTATGATAATGCAACTAAGTATACCAACAAGGCGTTCGGAGATTACTTGTTAGCTTAAGATAACTACATGTTCATACACACCAACATTAAATAGAGTAGTAGAGAGAAAGAATAAGCACATTCTCTAGGTAGCTCGAAGCATCATGATCACGATGAATGTCCCAAAGCACTTGTGGGGGTAAGAAGTTTTGATATTGAATCAATCAATCAACAGAATGCACTCGAGAATGTTGGATTTGAAGTCTCCTTATAAGATGTGGAAAGGAGATAATAGTTGGATCCTTCCATTGAAGTTTTTTGGCTGTGTATGTTTTGTGAAGGACAATAAACTATTAGAAGGGAAACTAGATCCTAGAGTTATGAAGTGTGTTTTCATGAATTATTTTGTTACCCCGAAGAGGTATGTTTGTTGGAGTCTGATAGAGAAAAGACTGTATGTGAGCATCGATGTGTTCTTTATAGAATTTTAATCGTATTACACCATGGAGTTGACCTCCTCTTTATAGAATTTTAATCGTATTAATATGACTGACCATGGGTTAATTCTCAGTGAATTCAGCTTAATTTAGGACTAAGATGGTATTCCCCAAGCTAGCCCAAGTTGAGTAGGTTTGGTTGACCCCAATAAAACAAAACCAACCCGGATCAATCATATTAAGTTTTGTCGACCTAAATAAACACGAAGAAAACTGAGGGAAAACTAGCCTATGTAGGCTAACTTGGATTAGTAAGAGACTCATCCTAGGAGGATTCATTCCAAACTTGAAACAATCTAAGATTGGGCCTAGACTTAAGAGACTAGAGCTTATGGAGGGTTTAACTTCTCGCTTAAGAACGAAGCACTCTTAGCCTCAATCAGAGACAATTTGGACTAAATAATCAAACGAACCCAACCAACATAAAATTCATTCTAGAAATCATTAAAATTAAACTTAAACGAAAATATGCAACTGGGTTTTAAGAAGATGGTTTTTAAAGGAGATCCTTAAACTATCTTCAACCTGCAAAACCTACTAAACGATAAAAATAAAAAGAAAAAAAATCAAAGAAGTTTTAATAAACTAATAAGTCATAAGCAACCTAAAATTTTCAACCCTTAAAATTTTAAAAAAAGACATTAAAACTTAAATGAAACCCTAATGAACAAAGATCATCGAACACAACTTTAACCCAGTCGCTCAGGCCTATGAAGATTTCTTGACGACACAATCTGTGGTTGCTGACAAGCATCTTTCGGTAAGAGTAAGTTTAACCACCTCTCAAGCTAATTAGACTTGAGTACCTGACGACCCAGGGAAGATGAAGCCATAGACATCTTGACATGATTATCTATAAGTTTAAAATTAACAAATATATAATTTTTTAATGAATAAAATATTTTTCTTTCTACTAACCTTGCTTTGCAAGGCTTTTGAAGACAAAAGGTGGACGCTAACCTAGATTTACTTTATATATTTTTAGGATGTTCTAACTCTATTTTGCAGGGATAAACAGTCCAAACCTAGAGCAGTGAATTAACAATAACTGAATATAAACCCATAGGATAGTTTTATTCCCTTATAATTTTGCTACCCTTAGGAAAAACATGTTGAAGTTTCTCTCCTATTTCTTGACACTTAATCTCTTTTTAAGAATAGACAATAACCTTAATTGAAAGTTTTTTTAAGTAGTTTGATTACTTTATATGTAATTAACTATGAGGGTTTGCCTTCATAGGAGAATAAGAATCCTAAATCTCTAGTATTTAGTCTTCGTAAGATTCACTCAAAAGCTCATTTTGAAGCACATTGAGTTAACCCCACCTGTAACTCATGCCTTAAAACTCTTACAAAATGCATATTTTTACAAAGACTTCCCACCCTTCTTTTGTTTGCTTCTTATCATTGCCCATCATATATCCTGACTACTTACTTCTTTGTCCACCAACATTAGCTAAGGAAAAGAATCATTCGGAGAAGAGGGCAAAGAGAGAATAAATTGGCTACTCTAATGACAGCAAATGCAGAGCAAATGACATGAACTGGGAGGTAGTGCGGTGATGTCATAATGAACATGACAACCACCATTCCGAACGGCCACATCCCCTGGACAAACTAGGCAAATTTTGGGTCTGGAGGGTAGACGTCGTTCACTCGAG